GGCAATACATCACACTCATTTGAAAAGGCATCACCCGAATGTGAATATCACCGGTACCAAAAGAAAAAAGACTGAAGTGCAAACCCAACTCCCACTAGCATTTAAGCCTCCACCACTCGCAGAGAGTTCAGACCGAGCCAAAGCTATTACAAATGCCAAATATCCTTATGTTGCCATGTTAGCAAAGCGCTACCTGGCTTTATCTGCTACCTCTGTCCCTAGAGAGGGTGTTCTCCACAGCAGGAGACATTGTTAGTGCCAGCAGATCTGCCCTTTCGGCAAGCAATGTGGACAAGTTCATCTTTCTTTAAACAACATGAAAATACAATGACAAGCAAGTCCTAATGTCAAGCTGGCTGCTTAGGTACTAGTACAGTTCAAATACAGATTATTTCAGTTCATCGAAATGCTGCACCTTAATGTTTATTTTACTATATTTTGTATTTATTTGAATACATTAGTCACAGTTTAATAATAATTAAAACATTTGTTTTAATGTTTTATGAACCGAACCGAACCGAACCGTGACCTAAAAACCGAGGTACGTACCGAACCGAAATGTTTGTGAACCGTTACACCCCTACAATCAATGTTAACTTGGAAAGCCACAATATTAATATTTTAACTCAATCACATAGGTCAGGGGTCCCCAAACTTTTTCCTGTGAGGGCCACATAACTTTTCCCTTCTCTGATGGGGGCCGGGTCAGTTTGTAACAGAAAAAGTGTGACGATCGCATGGGTGTCTAAACGTAAACATTTATTGTTTTCTAGAAAGCCACACATAACCAAATATTAATAACCCTTTCCGGGATCTTCACAGAAAAAAAGTCGGGAAATAAATAATAACACTATTAATGAAATAAATAACACTATTTATAAAATAAATAATAACCAAATAACCCTCTCTGGGTTCTTCACAGAAAAAAAGTCCATTGAAAATGACTGTAACTTTCTGTTGTGTCGTGCACAATCTTAACAGGTAAAAGTTTAGCTTAGTTGTCAGAGCAGAATCTCTCAAATAAACGTGGATTTACGTAAAAAAAACTATTTTTTCGGGGTTCGGGTGTTTTGTTTGATTTTAAACAAACAAAGTCTTGGCTTTCAGAATATGACATTTTATTTCCAATTTATTTATTTCTCACTCGCAATCTGCTCTTCCGCAGCGCCGCTCCCCCCTCACTCCGCTGAAATTATGAATGTAAGAGTATAGTAATCATAGATAACACTGCAGGGTCCGTTACAGTTTGTTTTCATCTGGTTTCAAATAAACAAAGTCTTAGCTTTCAGAATATTAAACTTGTTTCGGCAAATTCAGATGATAAATACAACTTTGAAGCTTCGGCATAATTACAAGCGGAGAACGGAGTAACTTGATGTCACAGCAGGCATAACAACAGCCGGTGTTTCTCGTGATTGTTTTCCCCGGGAAACAAACACAATACACACAAACGTAAAATTACACAAGCACACACACACACACACACACACACACACACACACACACACACGTATACACACACACTCGCGAGTTTCCCCTCCAAACAAAAATATCTTCCCTCTGTAGTATTTTGATCATTTGCTCCGCTAATAATCAATCAGATCGATGGATTCCAGAGAAGAGACAACTTTGAAGGCCTTTTTCTCAAAATGATGACTCGGTGACAGTCATTATATAATGTGACATATTTCGCTTAATATTTGAAGTACAAAAACAATCCTGATATCATTAGAAAGCTAGGAATATCCTCTTTCCAACAGTGTATACAACTCAAAAGGTGTCTTCGGGTCAATGCGACTGATTTAGATAGAGCAGGTCACAACATTTTGACAGGGGCTAGTCTAGGATTCGCGTGGCCAGACTGAAAATCTTTTTTTAAATTTCTTTTAAAAATAAATCATAATGCGTCTCTGGTATTGTTCAGGGGGCCGGGCCAAATGTGGAGGCGGGCCGTACCCGGCCCGCGGGCCTTAGTTTGGGGACCACTGACATAGGTGATATTATTGTGGCACATCAGTAAAGCCTTACAAGGTGGCAGACGTAATTTAATGAATTTTAACTGAACAATAACTGAATGAGTTTGTCTCACTCTTAGACCAGCAGGGGTACCAAATATATGCAGACTGCTGCAATAAGTACATGAATTAACTGTCTCATCGATGTTTGTCTGAATGAATATGATACTATTAACAATCATATTATTCCTATCAGCTGTAAATCACTGTTAATAAATAATAATAATAATAGATTTAATTTGTTAGCGTTTTTACAGGTGCTCAAAGACGCTTTACAGATATAGTGAAGAACTGTTATGATTCACATATTCATTTATTATTGAATAAACTATATTTTTTGGAGGAGTTAATGATGAATGTTCATCAAGATGCTTGCTCGCCCTCCTTCAAATTTGAAAACAAGTAATTATATCATTATTGATATACAGTTACAACCTTGACTTTACATCAGAAAGAACAAACATTAAAGAAGTGACTAACTGCATCAGTTAGGGTTACAAAACGTGTATTCAGCTAAAACATCGCTGCAGTTATGATCCAGTGGAGAGTCCTTACCTACTGGCCTAATTAAATCAAAGTGGTTACTTTCTGTTGGCTGGGCAGTGTAGTTTTACACACCGTCTTATTTTACTTTCTCAGGACTTAAAACAGCTTTTTGGGGGCAGACCCCCTCAAAGAAAAAAAGATATACACGCATACAAGGTCATCATCTTAACAGTTTGTTATTCTCATCGAGTCATCCGTGAGCAGAGCATCAAGTTGGCATGTCTATTACAGCTGAATGCGGCGATTACTATTTTGTTCACAAAAAAGGGGGAATACACGTTTCGCAATTATGCCACATCAAGGTGGAACGCTCTTCCCACAACTGTAAAGGAAAGTAAAACTATACTTACCTTCAAAACCTCTCTTAAAGAGCACCTTCGGGGGAGAGCATTGCAAAACTGGCCCCGGTAATGGTACAAATCTCAACCTGTCGTTCAATGGACAGCTTCCCCCCCCCCCCCCCATCTATGTATATACTCGCATTTTAGACTCTGTTACTAACTGTATATCTGTAGACTTGGTATGTCTTAAATGTCCGGTTAGGATGTATTAGAACGAAATCTAAAATGAAAATTGTAAATAAGCAATCTGTATGTAAAAAACCACCTGTATGTAAATTGTAAATAAGCCATCTGTATGTCAAATATGTCTTATATGTCTTAAATGATATGATGAATTGGAAATGGGGGACCCTGATGTAAACAAGACGAAAGTCTTTCTCTGGTCTGCATCCCCTTAACAATTGTATGTTTTGAGCTGTACTGTACTGTACCCAATATACAAGCTGTTAATAAACTTTTCAATCAATCAATCAATCAATCAATTCAGCAAAACGCCTCACAAACTTATTAAGATCAACAGCTGTAGTGCGTTTTGATTCAATGCTGAGTACAGCCAAACTGACAGTCTCTTCTCTGTCATTGTAGACCGCAAATACCTCATTCCTTCAGTGCTTGGGTCCGAATGCTTCTCGTTTTGCGCCGTCCCCCCGTTCAAGTGAATTCGCCACCAATCATATTTCCACTCTCGCGCCAGGACCGGGGGAGGGGTTACATGACGTGCATCTTGTGCTGCATTCACTTGCACTCGGACATTAGAGACTTTCTCTCATACATGTCCGATGAGCCACAACTTTTCTTTCAAAACAAAGATGCCAACTGGGGTGGCAGCTGGGGTCGCAAGGCTATTGTTTAGGGTGGCAGTTGCCACCCCATGCCACCCCGGTAGATCCGCCCCTGCCGCTGATACAGTATGTACAGAGAAAAGGAAGGAAATGTGTGTGTGTGTGTGTGTGTGTGTGTATATATGTGTGAGGTCACGTGGAGGAAAGACTGGTGCTTGAGAAGGAGAGAGAGGACTGTACATTAGATGAAAAATATCGCTGCAATCCTGTTCCAATGCCAACATCATCGAAACCATGCCAATAGGGATCAGATGCAATACCTGTAGTAAAGGATGTCAAAAATGATGTGGTGCAGGAATCCGCCCAAAAAACTCTGTTTGTTCCCTCTTCTTGAAGTCAACAGTTTCTGACACATTCGTTAGCTTAGAAGGATGAAACAAGAGCTGCGGTTAACAGAAGCTCAAGATATTTGCAGATTTAGTCTACGACATAAAAAGCATCAGTTAATACCCACTGTCAAATGAAGCGTACAGTATGTGTTCTATGAGCTATATAGCGGTGGTGACGCACAGCCATGTGAACGTGATTTGGTTTGTTTATAGCCTAATGTTAGCTTTTTACTTCAGCCGATAAAAAAAATCATTAAGTGATATTATTATGCATTAAACCAAAGTCCAATGGAAAAATCCCATTGCTTTTTTACATTTAACTCTTTCTTCATTGCCGTCAAATTAACACACAAGGCATCCTTCTTGTCCGATATAGATATATCTATGTACAAGTATTGTTATACTGTTAAGACTTTGGTTTGACAGAAATACAATTACATTCACTTTTGCAGGTAAGTTTTATCACATGCTGTCTTTCTGTACATCCGGTCACTATAGAAGAAGTCTCTCACGACCTCCTTTATGGCAAACAAAGAAGAAGAAAACTCGTGGAGAACATTTTACATTGCCATATTCCAATTTTGTAGAGGCAATTTTGTTGAATACATATACAACCATATACAGTATATTCATGCATTTATATTTTGTGTTCTAAGGGTGATTATGGAGGCGATAATACAAATCCATGTCTTGAATATTTCTTTAACTTAAGTGCAACCTGCAACTCGCTTATTTTTTAAGGCAGTGACCCACTGGGCATCCTTTCCATCAACAATTTGGAGCCATGAAAAATGTAAATACACTTTGGACTCATGTCGCTGGAGGCCATCTTTGTTGCAGTGTATCACCACCCTCCTATTGACAGAAGTCCCTAATGAATGAGCTGCCCTTTCCTTCCCTCATCAGTTCCACTTATTCTCCCCTCCCTTAATCCATCCATCCCCTGTCAGTCCATCTTTTCCTCCCAAAGCGGAATCCAAATCCTCCTTTCTCGCGGCTCACGGCCTGCAGACCTCCAGCGATGGAGGTCAGAGCTTCGTTCCTCTTGCCTCCATCCTCCGCTTCACCTCCCTCCTGATAGTTCATGCTCTCCAGAGAGTGACCCCCGGGGAAGGGTGACAGCAGCCGGTGTAACAGGTCTCCTCTCTGGACCCTCCGCAGTGCTTCTTCCTCCCAGGAGCGGCCCTCCCCCCCCTCCTTCCCCTCCCCTTCCTCCCTGCGTTTCAGCAGAGCTTCCCTGGAGTCTTGAGGCCACTCGGCCCAGGTCTCAGGCCGGAAGAGCCACTCGGCCCTCGGGTCATCCAGAGCAGCCTGGAGGTGCAGCAGGTTGGACTCCAGCTGAGCTCCATCCCCCGTGGGCTGGAGGGCGGGGGGGAGGTGGGGGTAGGATGTGACTGTGGGTGGGACGGGGCAGAGGAGGGCGAGGAAGAGCAGGGTGAGCTGTGACGGCCCGAGATGGAGAGAATGTTTCATCTGGAAATAAGATAACATTTGTATTTTCAACATTTTTGGGTGAAAAATAACTTGAAGTGAACCATGAGAACATTGTTATAGCAAAAAATACATTTAAAGAAATTAAATATTGTCTGAGTAGGACTCATAGTCTTCATAAATAAACAAACCAGATTTACAAATACAGATATCATTAAATTGGTTAATTAAAATAAGTTATCATATTATAATCACTATGTGATTATCTATGCTCTATATGGGTTGCCTAAATGCTGTTAAATGCTGCTCCAAAACAAGCAAATACTTTATATATAAAATGTATTTCTGCAATAAACATTATTACCAATGTAACAATTGGTCTTGCAACATTATTCTGCACTATTTTATTTCTACTCTGTTTCCTCTTGCTCTAATATATATATATATATATATATATATATATATATATGTTGCATTGAAGGAGCCTGGAACTTAATATTGTCATTGCATATACAGAGTTAAACGTAAAATAACCAGTATGCATGGTGTTCAGTAAACGACCAGTCAAAATCAAAGGATCCAACGTATTTTTAAATGGAGCAGAAATAGAACTAGTCCCCCACTTCAAGTATCTTGGAGTCAGATTGAACTCGAACTTGAAACATATCAAGAAAGTATCCAATACTATTAAATTCAACTTGCAAAATTGGAAACAAATCAGACCCTTCATAACTGTCAATGCTGCAAAGTCATACCTCCACTGTATGATTCTATCCCACATTGAATACTGCCTGACAAACTGGTCGTTTGCTTGTGCCACAAACCTGAAACTGATAGAACAGCTGTACAAGAGAGCTATCAAGGTGTTTGACAGAAAGCCAAATTCATACACAGGAAATATTGGTGAGTATTTTTTCCAGAGTAATTACTATTTTGCTCTGAAATAGTGATATTTAATCATTTTGGAGTGTATTTATTACTCATAGCTTTTAGAGTGCGATCAAAAATGCAGAGTCAATTATATTTGAATCAAACCATGACCACGCTGTAACGGAGGTGAACTCTGGGGCCGTAGATCTCGGTCTATATTATATAGCTTCATTATTGGCGAAGTATATTACTTTGTTCCACGCTAAAACATTGCAGGAAGCATGTGAATCTATGTCATTTATGCATCTATTTGTCACGATCTGTCTATGTTTTAGTTTGTCTGTCTCTGTTTCCTGTTGTAGTTTGAAAAGTGTTCCCCCTCCCGTCTTATCTGTTGCTGGTGATTGTGTTCACCTGGTGCCCTGTGTTTCTCCTCCCTCCTCACCTGTGTCTTGTTGGTTTGATTAGTCCTGTGTGTATTTAGGTTCTGTTTTCCTGTTAGTGTGTGTGAGGTCCTTGTTGCTGGTGATTGTGTTCATGTGAGACAGTCATATTGAGGCAGTGTATCATGAACCACAGCGATGAATAAATGCCCACACCGGGTTGTATTTTAACTCTCTGCCTCTGCCTCCTTGCTTGGTCGGGCCGCTCAATGATCAGCTTCACACACGCCCACTCCTCTTACTTAAGCACTTTGGTTTATTGACCTTTTTTATTATAAAGATCATTAACCTATGGTTCATTTATTCTATTCTGAGTAAAATTACCTTCTATTTGGAGTAAAATGACATTCGATTGGGAGTAACATTACCTTCTATTCTGAGTAAAATTACCTTCTATTGGGAGTAACATTACCTTCTATTTGGAGTAAAATGACGTTCGATTGGGAGTAAAATTACCATCTTTTATGAGTAAAATGGCAGTAGAGTTGTTTTTAATATACACTACATAGAGTAAATAACCATTAAGCAGAGTCAAATCTAAGCACATAATAGAGTAAAATGAACTCTAAAAATATATATATATACTCATCATTTAAAAAATAATTGCAACAGAGGGGTCCCCACCAGAGGATAATGTTATATGGGGGTCCTTGGCATGGCAAAGTTTGGGAACCCCTGCCTTAGGGTACATGGAGAAGAAGAAGAAATCTCGCAAAACTTTTCATTTAGCTCAGTGTACTTCCTGTTCAGTTCGGCTGTTACGGCAACACAGAAACCACAACAATGGAGCGGTTCATCGATTTTACTTTGAGCCTTAAATATAAAGATATAACATCAGTGCTTGGCAATAGGCACGGGTTTCACATAAGTGAAAGACACCTCAAGAGAACACTCAGAGCGAGGGGACATGCACGTCGCAAAGCATACTCTGAGCTCAGCGACGTGCAGTCAGGGGAGGCATACTCCAATGTAACGGAAAAACATGAAAAACTCAATAGTAATAATAATAACATGTCTCCACGGTCCGTGTACTTTTTGTCAGTTTGTTTTTTCGTTTTAAACAAAAGCCAAAAAACGGAAATACCAGCCTTTTTCCGTTTTTTCGTTTTTGATTTAAAACGAAAAAACGGGAAACCAAAGCCGTTTTTCCGTTGTTGTTGTCTGAATAAAAAGACCGATAACGAGAAAACCTAAGTAAAAAAAGGTAAGTGTACGTTTTGTTAGTTTGATTTTTCGTTTTAAACAAAACATGAGAATAATGGAAAAAACAGCCTTTTTTCGTTTTAAATCAAAAACGAAAAAACGTAAAACCAAAGCCGTTTTCCTGTTTATGTTGTCTGAATCAAAAACGGATAACAAGAAGACCTAATAAAAAAAACGGTCTGATTTTGATAACAACTTCATTCGATTTTCCGTTTTGTTTTGAGGAATGAAGAAAAGCAGTCCGCTGGACCGGAAGTTAAAGAACATATTTCAAAATAAAAGACACGAGGATATATTGGCTGTCACTACCCGATCTGCAGCTCTGCCCGATCTGCTGTGCGCATGTGCGAGATGGTCCGCCATATTGGACAACGCCGGACGGCAACCCAAGTAGGACAAAATTGACATCTAGACATTCTGAACCATTCGCAAGTTTTTACATGTGACAAAATATGCATTGCGCATTCGCGAGTTTTTACATGTGACAAACGGTGATTTGCAGAGTTTTTACATGTGACAAACGGTGATTTGCAGAGTTTTTACATGTGACAAACGGTGATTTGCATTGCATCTGACAGAATGAAGACTTTTGCATCTGACAGAATGAAGACATTTGTGTTTTATTATTTGGGGTTAAGACAGAGCCTATCATACTGAATACATATTAGAGCAAATCTCTGTTATCAGTCCTTTTCTTCAGACTATTATTGCTAAATTTGAAAGAGTCCTTACCAACAGAATGTTACTCACACAATTCTAGAAGTCACCAGTTGTTATCCTGTCAAAATCGAGTTGCACACTATCATTGACCTTCCCCCTATTTTGTATGTACTCTTAATATTTAATTGTTTTCATCAAATATAACACATTCAACAAAACATGCTGCCGACCTTAGGCAAGGCAAGTTAATTTATATAGCACCTTTCAACACAAGGCAATTCAAAGTGCTTTACAAAAATACATTAAGAAAAAGGCATTTAAAAACAGTCATTAAAAAGCAACACAATCTACATTACAATGCCTCTAAACATGTAATAACGTGCTTTAACCAGTAGATGGTGCGGATTAAAAAACGTCTAATTTACAATATTAACACAGTTATACTTAAGCAATAGCTCAGGCCGTGGTATATGCTCATTATATCACAGCTAAGGGGCATGGTTCGGCCCGACGCACCAGCCCGGCCCGAGCTGCCAGCTATCACACAGGCCCTGCGGGACCTCAGCCGGTACGCCCAGGCCAATAAGGCCTTGACGACTGACCAGGTGTCCACCATCAAGGCCACATTTAAGTGCCTTATATGCCGAGGTTAGTAACTTGCATACTAATTCTACACAAACTAGCCATATTCTAAATATTTTCTAATTTAAGTCATTGCATTATACTCTTCAAACTGGTCAGTCCCGTTAGTGGGTTCATCATTACAAACACACTGAACTGACAATCTTTGTTCAAAGCCACAAGGATTATTTTAGATTCTAGTGCAGATACCTGGGATTCAGAAAATAAAATAAAAATATACATGCTGCATTACAGGGAAATGTGTATAAATTACATGTAGTTATTTTCTGTTTGATTTAATCTTGCAGCCTTAAAACAATGGCATCTCGACTTGAAACTTGTACTCAATATAAGTGTAATGTGGCTGCAATGATGCTGCAACTAGCAGATACACACATGGATGTTAGAGTCCTACAATATGGAACAAGGGGTTTCAAAACACATATGGAGATACATACCGATATACAAGAGAACTTCATCAGAAAATCTGAGTTTAAAGGGTTATCCCATTAAAATGAGAATCACTGCTGACTTTAGTCAGATATTGTTATTACATACTAAAATAATCAAGATTACGAAGAAATAATGTAGATAAAATGTACATGCCTGCATTTTTGAAAAATAACTATCTAACATTTGATGCTGATATTCCCAGCTACTAAAGTATATGGGAAAACATATATATTACACACTGTAACATTAACAGGTAATATGAGTCTGATGAAAACTGCTTGAGACTACCATCACAATACTTTTTTGAAATTGGTCTAATAAAAACACATGTATTCTTGCAGATGTCATGGAAAATCCTGTGGTGGCACCATGCTGCCGTAGCCTGGTTGGGTGCCGGAGGTGCATTACTGAATGGACTGAGAACTCGCCTCACTGCCCTAAATGTAGGGATGACTCCTTCCCAGGGAGACTTTTCGAAGTGACAGGAATGGAAGAAGTAATTGATGTGTTAAGGGGTATTATTAGGGGTTAGTGTTAAGGGATATTATTAGGGGTTAGTGTTAAGGGATATTATTAGGGGTTAGAGCTTTGTTTTTGTTTTTGGTTGTTTGTTCATCTTGTGTGGTTAGGGGGGGTTGTGGAGTTGTGTTTGTTATTGTTAAATAAAGCCATTAAAAAAGTTATTCGTACTGAATGTTGTTAAATGTTACTGAACTAAAAAAAACGTTTTGTCTTGATCAGATTTTGAGTCGGTTACAAATATGATCATTACTTTATTTATCTGTATCTCAT